GACTAAACGCCAAGGTGCACGGAATGCTGTTACCTTCCCACTGAACTGGTACCTATTTATCTACTTGCAATTTCTTGCTTTCGAACTGCTAGGTTGGCAGGAGCTGGAACTAGAGACGGGAGCTCACTCCGTCATGTGGCACTTGGGTCTCGAACTGCTGAACTACCGACCTTCCACAGCCTGCTGTTCAGCGTCTTAACCACTTGAGCCACCACAGCTCCATGCAACACCCTTACCTGGGGAGTTTATTAATTTTAGAACATTTATATCCTATTTTTCAAGTTGGTGTTGTATTTTCAGACTTTAATATTCAAGGTGGTGTTGTACTTGTAAACTGGAACTGTGAGTTTAGCCGCACTGGAAGTAATTGGGGATCCACACAGGTGCTCTCTTTCGGTAATCTGTTCCAGTATAAGTGATTGTGCTGCCTGCTGCTGGAGTCCACTGCTTTTAAAATGCTCTCTTTGTAAATAAACAGATATTACAAAGATGATATAAGTCTCTCATCTAACTAAACTAACTAAACTAAACATCCATTAGAAACTAAACATCTTCGACGTGGTCTCTGTGCTTCACACCCATGGGATACAGTGCACCTGCGCTGGATTTATCAGTATTGTAGCAAGCTCTTAACGGATTTTCGCGCCCAGACCTCAGGCATGTGCAGGAACCCCACCACGCTACAACTGCACTGCCACAATTGTGGAAATTGCAGCAACAGAGTTTACCTGTGTAATGGCAATTCATCATTGTTTATATTTCCCTAATTCGACTGGCTTTTGAGCAAGGGAAACCTTTGCCTTTTAAACAACCTGGTACCTTGAGACTAGAAGTGATCCAGTATCTTCTGTCTAAAAACCACTGGTAAACTCGTGTGAATACTTTCAACATCAAAAGATTTCAAAGTCTTTTCACAGGTTGTGCATGATTATCAGGAGTTGTATTTTATTTCAAAACATTCCATAGAAAACACATTTCTGGCCTCCTTAAACCTACACAAAACAGATGTTTTACTGCTATAAATACCCAATTTTTCCAACGCTGATATTTATATGAAGAGGCACACATCTGTAGTATTGCCTTATTTGATGAACATAAAATCTGATGCCTCAGTTTATCTATTTATCTTATTTGGAATACTTTGGATCTCACCTTTCTGATAAGACTCAAGGCCAACCTATTTTAGAGATTAATTCGGTCATTTAAAAATGCCACAAGGGCCTGATCCAGATTGGGTGCAATGTGGGAGCAGGTAATCTTGTCCCACCTCTGAATGCTTGTTTCGACACTTGAAAGGGGCCGGAGGGGGAACACTGCAATCAGAATCCAGCTCTTGTAGAATTTTTAAACGGCCAAAGTAATCTCTAAAATGGTATTGGTGTCCCTTGGTCAGAGCCATGGACTCCATAATGTCTAGTTTGGTCCTCAGGGACCAAACAACAAGGTATCACCAATGAATCAAACAGATTAAAAAAGATGAGAAACTCACAAGAACTTGCATTTCTCCCTGTTTCCTCCTCCTCATACTAGTTCTTTCTGTCCTCCAGGGAGTCCCCTATCCTTTCGCACACCCACCCAGCACACCCACACTCCCATTGGAGGGTTTGAATTTCCCGCCAAAGTAGCTATTGGTGAATGCTGGGGGAACTAGGATCCTAGGTTCCTATTGTTTAGAGGAGCTAAGCTCCTAACTGTAGCTGCAGACCCCTGGTGGCGGTCCGTGTACATAATAACCACTATACTCCACTGGCTCTTCCCTTCTTCCCTCCCCGGGCAGCCTACCTGTTATCTGTTCCCAATCTTCAGCTATATGTATTGTTTAATTTTCTTGATTTATACCTCACTTTCTCCACAATGGAGACCCAAAGCTGCTTAGATCACTCTGTCCTCCTCCATTTCATCCTCACTACAACAAATCTGAGAATGTATAACTAGCTCAGAGTCACCCAGTGAGTTTCCATGGCAAAGTAGTAATTTAAACTTGGGTCTCCCAGATCCTAGTCTGAAACTCTAACCACTATACCACATTGGCTTTCGTGTAGTGGCTACTGTTGAATAGTACCAAGCAGCTGAGCTTGCCAGTGGTTGCTACCAGGCCTGGCCCCATGAGTTCTCCCTCAAAGGCCAAAACAGGCCTGGAAACCCTCCCCCAGTTTTACTGACAGAAACCTAGCCTTGAAGGCTGGCAGTACAGTAGTTGCTGCTGCGTAGCAACAGCCAGTGAGGGCTTTCATTCCTTAAAGCTACAGATTATGTTTCCATTATGGGGTGAGGTTTGCAGAAAAAACTGTTGTGTGTGCATATATATAACTGTTTTGTCTGTTCAGGACTCCAATCTCTGACGGTACAGCAACTGAAAGGACCCAATTCTAACAGACTTATTGGACTAGCTACAAAGAAGGCATAGCCAGCAGTGACTTGGGAACAGGTATTTGTGTTCATACCAGTCCCCCCCCCCCCATAATTTAAATCTGTCCACTCAAACAGTAATTTTCAAATTATTGCTCTTCAGATGTTTCTGCTCCTGGTTTTAACATTCAGCTGTTTACAGGAATGAGCAGGGCTCTTCCCCCACTCTCAAGACACAAATATCAAACATTCTCTCCTTAACACCCTTTAGCCACCCACTCATATCCATTCTGGTACAAAAGTAGACTTGTCTCCCTTTTCAATGCATATTGCTTCTAGGGAAAGTGTGGCTCTGTTCTAAATTCCTTTCCTGGCAGGGCTGCTAGGCCTTTTATCCACTCTCGCCTGGGTGCCTGGACAAGAGAGAGGAAGATTTAATGCACTTCCAAAATAAATAACGTGCAGTCAGATAGAAATCCAACAGGCGAAGCACAGCGCAGTCAGTCTGAACTGTTGAATTTCTATCTGTCACGCAGACGGAAACCCTATTGTCTCTTTCTGTCCAAGGCCAAGCAGCCCTGCCAGAAAGAGAACCACAGCACCCATAAGGGCCGACAGAGGCGAGCTGCTCTAGATTAACAACGCATGCAAAAGCTCTCTGCCGCAGGCCCTTTTTAACTCCTGCACCACCAATGTTCCCTCTAAGCTGTGGAGTCTTCTGAGCAAATATTCTACTTTGTGAGCTGCTGGCATTAAAGTTGTGAGCGAGCGATTTGGCTACTGCATAAATTAGCTTGCTCTTGACGCCCTCCTTCCTGAGCGGAGACAAAAATCTGTGAGCTGGAGGCTAAAAATCTGTGAGCTAGCTCACACTAACTCATCTTAGAGGGAACACTGTGCACCACCACTATGGAATGGCTTCCCAGAGACTCTGTGCCAGGCCCTTTCACCCGGTACTCCTTGGCTCTCCTCCTACCCGTCATCTCCGATTGCTCGCAACGGGAAGTTTTTTAAGTCCCGGACCAAAAGTTCAGCTTCGCCCGGCAGCAAGACGGCGAGCGGCTCCTCCATCGTGGCTTCGAGAGCGACCGACGCTGTCGCCATGGAGACGAGATCCGGCTGTTGAAGCTGCATCCTCTCCTACGCCCTCCAGCGACAGAGGACTGCAATGCAGCCCCACCGGGAAGAGCGAACGTCCTCGCTCCTCCCAGCTTGGGTAGCAAAGGAGGGGGCACGGTCGCCCCAGCATGAAAGGAGGGCGGCAGATGCAGCAGAAGAAATGCATAAACCGGGCACAGATTTAATCCAGTCAGGAGCCAGGTGGAAGCCGACACTGAAGGTCGCACTAATGCCGGGTGGAAGGACGGCTGCAGTTACTTAAAGTAGTGGAGAGCACTTTCGGTTCTTTGCAGGGTTAGTGTCGCTTTCAGCCCTGGATTAGTTATACCCTACTAAACCCACTAACGTCAATGGATTTCGAAGGGTGTGTTGTTTCTGTTTATGATTGCCCTGCTAATCTACCAGAATAATTACCTCTACTTACTCCCAAACATTTGTCTGAGTTTTAAAAACAATTTCCTACAAGACTTCTGTACAGTACAGAAAATCCAAATTGCCACACCCTTTCTAGATTATAGCTGTACATAGCATTTTTGAAGCCACAAGTAAGGTTCTGGCTGAGATACTGCTTAGGTTCAAGGCATTACACCCTTTATGTAGTCTTGTAAAGCAGCAGAAGTAAATGTTTTTGAGCATATGCAGACTACTACTTTAATAACGACAAGTACTTCAGAAGTTGTAAGTCCAAAATGAAATTCAAACACAAAAGCTGGTCACACCATTTATTAAGACCAATTAAAATGGTGAAACTGTGTGCAAGCTTTTGAATTCTCCAGAATCTTTTTGGACTGATGAAGACCTCTGGAGAACTTGGAAGCTTGCACACTGATTTGTTATTTTGGCTGGTCTTAATAAATGCTACTGTATGCTTTGTTTTACAAACAGTTCAGACACATTGGCAGATACTACCTGGTTAAAAAAAAAGAGGATGTAAAAGGATAATGAGAACAACAATCTCATCTCCCCTACTAAGAAGAAGAGATTGGATTTATACCCCGCCCTTCACTCGGAGTCTCAGAGCAGCTTACAAACTCCTTTCCCTTCGCCTCCCCACAACAGACACTCTGTGAGGTAGGTGGGGCTGGGAGAGCTCTTTCTCGAATTGTTCACCCAGTAAATTCTCAGGTTCTGGACTAAATGCCAGCTTAGATTCATTTATAAAGGACATAACCAACTCTAAATTTAGAGAATCCACATGGTCACACTGACACCAACACCATATTGAATTTCAGTACCAGTCTTAACGTTTGGTTACTCTACCCCAGAAGTGTTTAACTCATTTGTTACGATCTGACATATATGTCACTTTGTCAGGCCAGGCCATGCGTACCATAAAACGTAATGCCAGGTCCTGGAGACAAACTGTATAAAGGCCAGCAGCTGGTAAGCTCCAAGTTGATGTATCCTCACTGCAAGGCCCCATGGGCTGGGAGGGGGGTGCAAAGGAGAGCCAGTGGTACAGCACTGGGCAGATGCTCCCACGCTGCCTGACTGCTGCAGATGAGGTTGTTCTGCCATGTTGAAACCACAATCAGAGTGACTCCACCCACTCCACCCTCCCGAGAAGTCTCCTGTTCCCTCCCTTGCACTAGTTGCTTGTGGGCCACATAAGAGCCTTGGACAGACTGGTTCCGACCCCTGGGCCTTATGTCTGACACCCCTGCTGTATCCCATCCTGTTGTATTTAAATGGCTAATTGTACAGGAGATTATTATTTATATTGACCTAATAAAATAATAAAAATGTCTGTAATTTCTCTTCCCCAATTATAATTCATAGGGTGCACTCAAAATAAATGGCTACAATAGAATATTCAGTTATCACTACAGTTCCTGCTTCATTGGTGTAATTTTACTACAGTATATTTTCAATTTGGTGCTTTAGTCCAGGGATGAACATAGTACTACTGCTAGATTCATAACAGCAGATATTTGAACTGAATCCTTTTGCTAGAAACAAGGGCGAGAATGGACTGTGAACACTGTGAAAAGTTTCAGAGAAACGGGGCCATCCTGATTTTTCACATTAAATGGAATAGTTTCCAGAAGTCAGTTCCATAGATAGCAAATGAACAGAGGGTGGAGGCACAGAGGGTGGAGGCAGCAACAGATTAATATTTTCAGACTATTGGGAACAAACTACAATTATGTGAAATGAAGCCCCCCAAAGATTTTTTAACTGAAAAGCATCATTGAGAAGGCAGTTTGGAAGGATGGGTGTGTGGATGAGTGCCTAGCCTCTTCTACACCAGCCATTCTTCTGGTCCAAATCTCCTACCATGGGGTTCCAGATACATATCTGTTCTCAAATACATACTTGGAACCCCATGGGGAATGTAATAGGGTGGGGAACGTTGGAAAACAAGGAATGCATTAAGCACCCATCCATTCCACAATTGCTTGCTTAACATTAGGCCTCCAGTAGATTCTGTTTCAAAAACAAACAGCTGTTGGGATATCATTACATGCAATTAAGTGTAACATGCAGTTTTCCTCTCAGAGAAACAGGATCCATACTTCGTCTTCAGTTAGCAACACAAGCCCACTTAACTAATTCTTTCCAAGCAACACTGGCTTGAAAAGCTGCACAGTCTCATACAACAAGAGCAACGCTGCTCTCCAAGAGATCCTGGTGCCACCTCTGAGTTCCAGGCAGCTCGAGCAATCGTTTACAGGGCATGATGAAGAAATGTCTGCTTCCTTGGACAGACTCATTTCCAGCAAACAATTATATTGGGATCATTTTCCAGCCTCTCGTCCAACTCCCGGTAGCTCATGCCTAAAGGAGGAAACACAACACAATGGCTATTTAGGATTCACAGAGCACAAACATAACTACACCTGTAAAATACAGCAGTTGTCAGCAATGACTGATCCCTGCTCCAAAGGAGGAGGCTGAATCAACTGAAGCTGTCAGCTCAAGGAAATAACAATTTGCATCTCCACTGTAGCGATACACTAATTTAACTTAATGAAGGGCAGCCACTTATCCTCACAGTTTATTTTCATTGTTCCTCTCTTCTTCCAGAGACTGCCACCGCTTCCCTCCCAGTTAAAGAATGTTTTCCTGTATCTTATATTTTACTTACTAGAGATTCAACAACATGACATTTAAGGATGATCAAAGGTAGATAATCCTTCATTCTGTGCTAAGCATCACTCCATGGCACCTCTGCTGTTCTCATCCCTAACTGAAAGGAAGCCCAAGTGCACACACCTGGATTGGGTCACCTTTAGCCATGCTTCTCCCACAGTTGCCTTTACTGTCTCTGGTGCCCTTGTCAAAATGTAGATTTGTGAGCCCCTGAAGGCAAGGACCTGTTACCTCCAGAGTAACATAAGCAACAATTACTCTGTAAAGCACCACTGGCTTATCAGGAGTTTGGAATACAAGCCTGATCCTGCAGGTTTATATGCTGTTTTACATTCTGGGTGCTAGGAAGTTCCTGGTGGATTTTAGTGGATTTTGTTTCACTGTTTTATTGCTGTGTTTAATGTTATGATGATTCCCCCCCCCCCCCCCAATATTGTTGCTTGCTGCTCCCCTGATTATACACCAGTTTGTGCACTTCAGTGGCCGGATCCATACCTAATTGCATACCTGTTTTACAGCAGATTTCATCATAGCTGTGACAGCCTGTGTAGAGCCGTGCTGGATGACTTCTTTCATCCCGGGCGACTTTCACGGGATACTTCTGAAGCCTCCGAATAAGACCTTTCATCAAACCAAACTGAATGAGCTTCCTGAACCGGAGAAGGATAAAGTGTTTACGGAACAGCTGGGCAACAAAAATAATTAAGACACTTTTTGAAACAAAACAAAAAAAACCAATTTTCTGTAGCAGTTTAAAACCAGTGACAATGGTGTTCTCATAGCATTCCTGCATGGTACTTTTTCTGGGGACTGGAAGCAAGCATACAGTAGGTCTGATCCTTCCAATCCCAGCCAGAGGGATGATACAGATCATTGTGAAAAGAACATGGGGTGTACAGTGTGCATAGCTGGCAGACACCTGCCTTTGGAAGACATGATCCTGTACTTCTGTGTGAAATAGCGGTGGGGGATGCAGTGGCTATTTAACAGAGACTGTATCCTAATCATACACAGCCCAGTCTCCTCTTCAACTTAGGCTCTCTAGAAATGTTAGAATTCTAAGGTCAAAATCAGGCAAGAGTGCTGGAAGCACTCCTTCTATATTCTTCCATAACCAAATGATAGCAGGACAGACAATGAGCCTGTCTACATGACAAACTTTATGCCTGGTTAACTGTCATCAAAAACAAGACAGGCTTCGGTATGAATACAATTGGGAAAAATGAACTCACCGAAGAAAGCCACTATTCTATAACTTTTACACACTTGGTTATACTTTTTATAATGTTTATAATGCAAATTTCTTGTTCTAAACAACATTCATCCTTATATAAAATACATTTCATAAGCAAAGACCATAGAGAATGGTATGAATGCAACACAAAAACTTGACACTGTTTTGACTATGCTCCTAGAATGTTTTCTCTTTAAAGTGTCTTGAAAGAGATGCTTTAAACCCTGTGCCAGAGGATAAATGGACACAGATCTGACATCAGGAATCACAAGAATGAGAAACCTGTAGGAGAACACTTCAACCTTCCAGGACATTCAATGGGTGACCTCAAAATAGGGTCACCTATTGAATGGAAACAGAATGGAAAGGGAGATTGCTGAATTACAAGTTATTACAACACTTGGATCAAAACCTCCCCAGGACTCAACAGGGATATTGGTTTCTCATAGCTTCTCAAGAGTATCAGCTAGGGTACAATTCTAAAACCAATACATGTGAAGTATGGAACCATTCTGCCCCCCAAAACTTTCCCTACCAGTGAAGCCTGATCATGTTTTTATTGCAACTTAATTACAAATTTGGTGGAGCCATTGGACATTAGATAATTTGCTTTGTGAGCTTTGAAAGAAGGGCCACCAATTAACCATTAAGTCATCAGATCTTTTTTTTTTGTTCCTGATTGCCCTATTGTCTGGGGGTTCTTGGCTAACTGATTACCCATATATAAAACTGAAATAACAAAGGGGCCAGCTCAGTTTAAATTTGGAATTAAGGTGATTTGTAAGATTAAGCCTTATGTTTCACCTTTTGCAGCAGAAGAATTTTATTTACAAATACTTATTACTTAAAAAAACAAAACAAAACTAACAAGAATCCCCTCAGGCTTCTAACCTTTCATCTATTCTCTGGAGTTGAACTGTATAGCGACAAATGAGGTCTCGAACAGTTGTGCCAGGGGTCAGTCCACAGTACAGCTGGAAAACATCTCTCAGACTCGCTCGTTTGTGACCTGGACAAGAAAGAAAAATCGATGACACCTCAAGAAGTTCCAGTACTTTGGAAACCTCAGAATTGGAGAAAGGGGCTGCTGCAGTGAAAATACCTAAAGCTAATCTGAAGTATAAGAAGAAGAAACGTAAAAAATAAGCAGATAGTTTAACAGAATAGGGATTATTAATTACCTGAGATCAGTATTAAGCTTCAAACTAGCTTTATTTAGAATTCAACCTTTTGATACAACACTTCTTGTTATTGTAGTAGGATTGATATATAACTTGGAATATGATCCTTATCTTATTTTTTGTTAGTATTAGTTTTCCCCTTTCCCCCTCCCTGTGGGTTGTAATATATAAAATGCAATTAAAAAGTTATAAAAAAGAAAGAAAGAAAAATCGAAACATTATAATCAAGAAACAATTCTGGCTTATCCTGCAGTTATCACTACTAAAGTATCCATATGTATATTATATACAGTATTTGTCACAGGCAAAACAACATTTGCAGCTGGCCAACAGTCAAAATGATCAAATGTGTTAAACAGCCAATGAATGTCCTACGTAAGTAAAATATCCTACAGAGTATCAAAAGTACCAATTATATCACCAGGTACTAACTGCAAATCAAAAGTACCAAAAACTAATTGCGTAACAATAAGAATTACACAGTGTCATACATACAAACAATACAGTAGTTCATAAAAATATACATGAACTCACGAGAGCGGTAAACTACAATCCATAAAACTACTACTGATAGCAATGGCAGTAAATTTTATAATTATTAAAACACTTATAGATTGCCATCGACTAATCATGCCTGAGGTAGTGTACAGTTACTGAAAATATAAACAACTAATAAGTGAATGAGTACCAGTAAAACAAAACAGCAAACAAGAACCAAGTTAACCATAAACCAGCATCAATAAAACAATGAACAGAACAGTAAATTAAACCAAATTAGTGTACAAGCAGCAAATGAATGACAACTAAACAGGGTAACAATTAACGAAAAACTATGTACAACAGAAGAGTTTTTACCTGGTGCCGAAAAGTATTCAAGCAAAGAGAAAGAAATTGATCTATTTAAATGTATTTGCTTGGACCCTGGATGTCAGCCAGTTGCTAATGTTACTTCACATCGGATATAGTATATACATGTTGATTATTTTATTATCAGAATCCTTATTAATTTCAGATTAGTCACTTATCCCCCAGTACCTGGCTTTGTGATGTAGGACAGGCATTCTTCTTGGAGAGATTTATCATCTACCAGATCCTGAACTCTGGGAGTAGTACAATACACGTTTGAATACTGGGAGAGAAAATGAAGGAACTGTTAGTCCACAATGGCAGGTGCAGCATTTCAGCTCCTACTGGGATTCATTTTGATTGCTAAACAGAACCATTCTAACATAAGGATATTATAACCAGCCAGGAGCTGAAGATGACATGGCACAGCTGCACCTAAGAACATGTGACTGTGTCTAAACAGGCTGTTCTAGAATTTTATTCTAGCATTTGTTGTTTTCCAGAATCTAATGCCAGATTTTGTTTTAAGTTTTCAAATGTTACTTGGTGGCCTCACTTTTATAGACCACATTCATTCTGGAAAAGAAAAAAAAAATTAAAGACATATGGAAACAAAAACAGGGCCACACACTCCCATAAGGCACATTCATCAGCATTTTTAAATTTCACACAATTCTAAACATTTACACACTGTGGCCTTTAGTAGTGCCATTCCCTCTACACCCTTCCTGACAAACAGCTAAAATCTCGGCTTATAGCCAAACAAGAAAGCATCTGTTCTCACAAAAGGATCCTCCTCTGTGCAACATGGATGTCAACAATTTCTGTGCACAGCTAACTTCTCCCAATGGAACTGAGACCCTGCCAAAAGACCATGGAGAAAATGAGTATATTCTAGGCTTGTGTACTTAAGTGGCCAGTGCATTCCAAGAACACAGGAGTATAGCAGATTAGCTGCAAGAGCTTTGCAGACAGCAGTACTTTTTAAAGCTCTAAAACTTCTCATCTGTGTGACGGCTGGGGCCACAGTTTAGCCTTTTGTAGGTTGTAATCATATCACAGTACTGCGATTGAACTGCTACCTACATACAGTAAACTTAAGTATAACTGCAGAAGTGAAGGTTTATTCTGTTTGCTTTGAGCAAAGTGTCTGCCATTTTATTCCACCTTGATCTGTACAGTGATAGGCCCTGAGGAACATGCATTCACCTTCCTTTTATCTGGGGCCGAATCACTAATGACACTTGAAATCTATGAATGGAGGTCAGTACTATTTTCTTTTTTTACAGGAATTAGACGGTTGTAAATTTGATGAGAGCAGTGGCACAGAGGAATAATAGGTATTTCTTTTCCTCTCTGGTTCCAGGATCTAAACCACCCCTCCCACAGCTACCATTATCCCCTCCCCCTCAAAACTAGGGAGGGATTCAAGTATGCCATCCATATCTGTACTCACCTTGTTTTGGGGGGAGCTGTTTATATCAAGGGAATGGCAGCAGAAAAAAAATAAACACTCCTAGCACCACTACTACAACCACATTCAGGCAACCCACCCCTTCTCTATTTTAGTTCTGCAGTAAAAAAAAACCCACACAACTATCATGTCTGATCCCTTGGGATATCACTTGTCTGAGGATTTTGACATCTATCTGTACAATGTAAATGAATTTATTGCAGTGAACACTCACTAACAATATATTTTGAGTTCGCCTTGACAACAACACACTGAGTTTTACCTCTTGAGGAAATTAATTTTATTATCCACCAGACCACAGGAATTAGGTTAGTACTGGCTAATGAAATCACATGGTTTGTGAGGGCATCTCGAGCAACAGGGTAGGATCGGGGGGAGAGAAAGCTGAAGGCAAGAATAAGAAGTGCATATAGAGAACAGCTAACACCCAATGTGTAACAGAATGACAGAACTCAATAAAGTGTCAGGAGCGCATGCACCTATTTGTATGTACACCTTGTACACAAACAACAGCTTTTCTTGTAAAGACCCATTTCAAATAGGTCCTTCATCAGGTATTGCTGAATGTCTCAGTGCCGTGTGTTCATACTTCTTCATAAGTGTGTGGATGCTTTAACAACTAATTTAATTGTTGAAAATTAGAAATTATTGCTAATTAGAATAGTGTTGAACAGAAGAATCCAAAGTGTCCAGAGGTAGGAAGGAACAGCTGCCTTTCATCATCATCCTGCAGCCATCCCACTAGAACACAGCTGGCCTGTGTAAGGCTTTGAGTACAACTAACAGGCTCCTGAAAGCACCTTCACTGCTATCTTTTCTCATACTCACTCTGCCACATATGAATGCCTAGACACAAGAAAAGTTACAGCAAGGAGTACAAATGCCTGACTATCCAGTGCTTCACTGTAACCCTGCTGGCAGATGTGATGCTATAATTCCAACAGTATTACAATGGGAGTGGAAGGTTGGTGCTTGCTCTAGGAACTATCATTCCGGCTGCCTCTACTGAAAATAAAGGCTCTTTGCTTCACGATGTAGAATTTGGCTCACACTGCTGTTACTTTATGGCCTACAACCTGGAACTTTGGTAACTAAGGGTGCTGCTTTTGATGAAGGCCAAAGAAAACAGTGAGATCATGTATTTACGCTCTCTTTCTAGATTTTCAAAAATAATTCCCTCCAAATGTGAGCTTAGTTCTTTATTAAAAATGAGAAGTTTACTATCTGTGAAAATACACTTGGCTGTATATATTAAATGGTCTTTAATTTGTCTTATAGAACTAGGCATTAAAACAGCATTAGACACACTACTAAGATGTGCTGCTTTTCAAACTAAGCTTTCTTCCTGGTTTAAATTAAATTAAATTAAATTTCTACCAAAAGTGTGTATTGATATCCTCAGGTTTGCTAAATTAAACGCTTTATTAATAAAGGTGTTGCACATGAAAGGAGACAAACAACAAAGATCAGCATTCTTTCCTTCAGATGAATGTGTGATCCAATTCCATAGAGAAATAACTGTTTGATGATGAACTAGGAAATTCCTACCTGCTTGGATCAGTGATGGCTGATTCATATAGCCAAACCACTACTTGCTGCAGTCATCAAGTGATGAAAATGCATCATGAGTGACCCAGAAACCCACTGCTTACAGTCCCAGTTCCCCAAACTACTTACCTGAAGTATGGAAACGAGAGTCACTACTCCATAGTATCTGGAAAACATGAAGCCCATGAGAAACTAACCCCCACACTAAAAATTTATACTTAGGATGTGTTTTAAAAGAAGATACACAATGCTGGTGGGCAATCATTATCTGACATGGATATGACTTTTGCGGAAATCTTGCAGCAATTTTGTTATGAGTATTTGGAAGACATGGCATTAAGATAAGAGATGCTTATAGCGAGTATATTGGCTGACGCACTGTAGAAGGCTGGTCATTCTCAAAATGATCACATCTTAATTTCTAAAAGAAATGGCAGGGCTCAAGCCTATAATTTACCACATCTTCCCCCTTCCTTATCTCAGATAAGAATGGGCTTCCTCTGGCAAAGTAGTAGGAGGTATATCTGTGCATGTGTAACCTCAGTTTGTGGGTTCTGTAGGACAGAACTTGGAATGAATCATGCAATTATTTAAAGGGAATAAAACATCATATCATGTAACAAAAACACAGATCTTAGTAACACAATGGAGCAGTGATCTTTTAAAGTCCGACTCCAAACAGTTAACTTTTCCCTCCTTCACAGCTTGTCACCCCCACAGTTCATCTCTTTCCTCTTGCTGGTGGCCCAAGAAGTCTTTAGCTGAACACTCTGTGTGCCAGCTTCTGAGCTGAAGGTCCCAAATGAACTCCCATTAGATAACACAGTCCTTAAACAAGGTGTTGAGAGCCCATGATTAAGGTTCAAGCTCCCCAGCAGGGCAGTGTTGCTTCCCTCCTTTGCCTTCCACAGTCTGCACCCTTCTGCATCTAGAGGCTCCAACCCTTCCTGGTTCATCCCATTCCTGGCTAGGGGCTACACATGCTCAGAGGTACTTTTTCTTTATTACTTCTTTACATATTTCACTGCTGAGCTGTAACACTGAGAATCAGTTCTGGGGCTGAACTTTTAACACAAATTATGCTCTAAATGCCCTAATCTGGATGGCCCATCCAAACCTGATCTCGTCAGATTTTGGAAGCTAAGCAGGGCTGACATTGGTTAGTAATTGGATGGGAGACCTCCAAAGAAATCCAGAGTTGCGATACAGGGGCAGGCAACAGAAAACCACCTTTGTTTGTCTCTTGCCCTGAAAGCCTTATGGGATTACCATAAATCAGCTGTGACTTGATAGCACTTTCCACCACCACCACCACTTGCTCTGAAGAGAAATGAGGTTGGCATGGAAAAGCTCAGTGCTACAACACATTTCAAGGGGTTTCCATGTTTTTTCATTAAGACAGACATTGTTATGATATTATCAAACAAAGAAACACTGTGATAAAATTGACAATATTTAATGATTCTTATGAACATCAGTTTGTGTGTCTATTAAGACTTTTACAATATTGCTTAGGAAATTCTGACATTTTCAAGGGAAACTCCAACATCATCATATCCTCAATGAGCGCCCGGTTGATTACAGCTTAATTATTGTAGCTTAACTTCTTTTTCATATTATCCTGAAACAAACATGGTTATTTAGAATAGAAAGAGACATGAAGCTGAAAGGAATATAGTTTTGTTATAATTTTGTTTAAATATCAATAATTTTTAACTTGAATGATTTTAAACTTACTTCCAGTTCCATTGTAGTTTGTTTCAGGATAATATGAAAAAGAAGTTAGGCTGCAATAATTTGAAGAAAGTAAAAAAGAGGTTAAACTGTATCACAAAGAAGTTAAGTTGTATCAAGAGGCTGACACCTTCCAACCTTATAGGTTTACTCCTGAGGTCAACCGGGCACTCATTGAGGATATGATGATGTTGGACTTTCCTTTGAAAATGTCAGATGTTCATAAGAATCATTAAATATTGTAAATTTTATCACAGTGTTTCTTTGTTTGATAGTATGAACCTGTAACTGTGATCCCTTCTTTGGTTTACTCAGTTGTTATGATAATGGCACACAGTATTTGCATGTTATAGGTTTTGAAAAAAGAAAAGAAAACAACTTACCCCATAGCCCAGTTACATGAATGATCTATTCTTCAACATAACAAATACCTTTGTTGTCTTCACTGTGCTTATTTGATATTTAGTTGGTACTAACAGTAGACAAAGCACTAGTCACAATGTGAAAGAACCATGATCTGAACGCTCAAAGTGAACAAACTTCGATGGGCAAGAGCCAGTTTTTCAGATACATTAAAAAATATCTCTTGTACTGAAAATGTAGGTTATTTTGCTTCTATGTGACAGCTGCTAAGGAGAAGACGAAGCTAAAAAGAGTCTGTGGGTGGAAATGCCAGCTCTGATCAATGAAGGATTCTAATTCGAAAGTAGGGCTCAAAACTTTTCCAACTTTTATATTCCTATGATTTGGCACTTACAACAGATTCTGGATGGCAATTCGAACCAAATTGAGCTCCACATCTGCTTCAGCTGAGATTTTCTGAATGTGCCGAAACCCATCAATGTATGGCAGGATCTAGGAAGAGAGGGTGCATATGATGCCAGGCAAAGCCAAGAGTCTTACAAACAAGCGTAAAGCATTTTTCACTAGCTAAGCAAGGAAGAGAAAGCAAGGTCTGGAAGACTGGCAGGCCACACAGAAGGCGTGAGCAAAATTTAAGCTCACACAGGATGACTTCTTGAAGGACTTTATCAATATAAGCCACCCTGAGCCTGTTTTGGCGGGGAGGGCGGGACATAAATTGAATAAATAAATAAATATATGAAAGTTCTAGTGCAACAATGGGAATGTCAGACCCAGCAAGAGAAATTAAGCAATTAAAACATTATGAAAAACATGGTGGATGAGAGAATGTTTAAGATGATTTGCATGCAATGGCTTGGAGGATCGCATTACACCTTTTATCTGAGATGAATTGGAGGAATGCTCTTCCCAGGCTGTACTGTCTGCAAAAGAATTTATGCACTCTTGCTTATATCCCATACCATGTGAAAAGGTAGTGCAAATACTTAAGAAAATATAGCACCAAAAAACTGTGTAACATTAGATTTCAGCAATTACGGAAGTAAAGAAATCCACAAAGTTTTGTTATCAGAGGCTCTTTTCATAGCTCAAATTCTGAGGAATAGTCTTCCTATAAAGTACCAATCAGTGCTCTTTCACTAAATGACAGAGTTATAAAGGGCAGCATATCCTTTAAGAAGAAGAAGAGATTGGATTTATACCCTGCCTTTCACTACCCAAAGGTGTCTCAGAGCGGCTTACAAACTCCTTTCCCTTTTCCTCCCCACAACAGACACCCTGTGAGGTAGGTGGGGCTGAGAGAGCTCTGACAGAAAGTGCTCTTTGTTAAGAACAGCTCTAGTCAAAACTACGGCTTGCCCAAGGTCATCCAGCCAGGTGCAAGTGGAGGAGTGGGGAATCAAACCCAGTTCTCCCAGATTAGAGTCCACGCACTTAACCACTACACCAAACTGGCTTTAAGAAAAAAATGTATCCACACATCTTTCCCAATTGAACCCTAGGAACAAGGCTGCAGTTCCATGCCTACTTACTTATAAGTGCCATTTAATTCATGAGGACTTACTGCTAAACAAACATGTATCAGAGCTAACTGCCGAAACTGCATCTTTGCAGTAGTAGACTGTCTCACAAAAATCTGAGCCAGGTGGGATTACTTTCTAGGGTTGTGGTTTCTTTTTTGGAAACTAAGTCATCTATAAAGGTAAAGGTTCCCTTGCTCGAAAGCCAGTCGAATTCGACTCTAGGGTTGCGGTGCTCATCTCCATTTCAAAGCCGAAGAGCCAGCGCTGTCCGAAGACGTTTCCGTGGTCATGTGGCCGGCATGACTAAACACCAAGGCGTACGGAACGCTGTTACCTTCCCACCGAAGTGGTACCTATTTATCTACTTGCAATTCCTTGCTTTCGAACTGCTAGGTTGGCAGGAGCTGGAACTAGAGATGGGAGCTCACTCCATTATACGACACCCGGGTCTCGAACTGCTGAACTACTGACCTTCCACAGCCTGCAGTTCAGCGTCTTAACCACTTGAGCCACCGCATCTATACTGCCCCCCAGACTCTGCATTCCAGTGTGCAATGAGTTTGCAGCCCCAATGTCCTCCCCGTTGTATGAACAAACCTGCTGAGTGGTGAGGTCCCACTGGGAATTGAAGAAGTCATCCTTATCTTGGGTGAAAACAGGAACATCATATTCCTGCACAATGGGGGGATCTGGGCGTTGCTCAATCACTTTCAGGTGAATGGTGTTTGATTCATCTAACAAAAGGAAGAGATCAGGTTTGAACTTAAATGTTATTTGATGCTAGGAGGACAAGCAGCTCTGCTGGGCTGGGGACGCTTGGCTCTTTGGCTGGGGCTTTGCATCTCTGACCTCCCTTATTTAGACCAGGTCTACGACGGGAGTATCCAATCATCAAAACATTCCATCAACCCTTCCTTCACAGAGCTAATCAAGGGGGTGTACATATTTCTCCAGCATTTTCCCACTACAAACTGGTGAGGTAGGTCAGGTTGAGAGAGCGTAACTGGCCCGGGATTACCCAGTGAATTTTATGGTGGAATGGAGGTTTGAATCCAGGTCTCCCCAGCTGTAGTTTCAGCATGCTAGTCACCAAGACACACTGTCTCCCTTACTGATTATTACTACATCCCCCTCCCCAACACAGCTGAATTATTTGGGGCTTAAATTTAACAGAACTGTTTGTTCATCAGTCCGAGACCAGCCAGCTGTATGGCCAACCGCAGGTGGTGGGAGCAAGAGACTGCCCAGTGACCCCAGATGCAGCCAGGGCATGGAGAAGAGTGGCAAGGGGCTAAAAGCCTACGTGTTTTCTTATTATCTGAAGCACTGGATAATATACACTCAGTTTACACAACCAGGAGAAACAGCAGTGCCTCACCTCTGCTGAGAATACTAATCACGATAGCCACAGTACTGTTGGTGAGGAAGGAACTTGTTTCCTATCATAAGAACTTGCTTAAGGCACCTTGTCCATCTTTTCATGTAGGGCTGCAATGTTCTTTTTCTAACCAAATCACAGGAGGAGTTAGGCCAATGGTATCCACTGTTAAGTAGCTACCCCCTCCCAATTCCTGAGGAGCGTCATATTCCAGGGTGGCAACCACCACTGCCTCCTTATACCCTTGATAAGAAGAGGAGGGAGTCATAAAACACAAGAAATGCTCTCTCCTGCACTGAATGTGCCACAGTCCCATCCTCCAAAACCACATGTATCTAAAAAGGAGCATGTGACCGTTGATGATACCTATTGGCAGAGTGCATTTGCCAGTGGCATTCAATTCCTCAAGCAGGATGGTCATTATCGGTATCAACTTTTGCTTGCTCTCATCATTGGAGATGAAGCCACTCTCAAGCTAGGAAAGGACAGAGACGATGATCAGTTCTGAGCAATGTGCAGAAAAGTGTCATTCAATGCAGCTGCAGAACAGGCTGAGTGAATTACACACCAAATAAAAAAAAACACCTGCCCAGTACTTCTGAACAACAAATTATACTGATTATTGCAGTGAAAATACACGGAAACATATTAAACATTATTTTCAGAGCAGTGGAAGCAAACTCTCCTTAAAAGTTACCATGGCATTAATGCCAGACTGGCAGAAGTTGTGTGATATGGGTACACATGTAATAAGGATGGGGGGAGAAGAGATCCTTGCTGTTTTGGGAAGAGCCCTGTTTGTCTTTCCAAGCATTGCTGCTGGGAACAACCATGCATTTCCCCCCTTTTAACAGGAATACTGATGAAGTAAAGCAAGTAAGAGCTTACATTTTCCAAGCTTAAAAAAATCCTTTTAAAAACAATTCCAAAAATGCATGGGGAGTGCTGTGTCTGGTCACCAATGATGTCTCTGGCACTACCAAATAGTTGATGGCAGCAGACACTCCACCCCATTGTGATACCTCTGCAAAGTTTGCATTGCAAGTTTCAGAGTTTAGCATGTTTCACTTGAGGCCCTACAAATTCTGCCCCCCCCCCCAAGGGCAACAGAAGAAATAAACAAAAGATAAGGTTTCTGAAAATGTATATTGGTACATGCCTAAGCACAGAAAAGTGAAAAAAAACACATTCACTTAATGTCTAACCTCCAGAGTTGTGAGATAACCTGCCAATTTCTTCACAATGGGTTCCAGGGCACAGGTTTTAGCTCTAGCATCACAAACAAAACCGAGGTTAAAGAGCAGAGCGTTCCGGCTATACTTCTTATGCTCAATACAAACTGGGCAGCCAATTAGTTTTTTGTCCATGGCTGTACTGTTAGAGAGAAAGAATTTCAATATTATTAAGCATAAATTTATGACACTTAGCAGTGTACAGAATACTGTGCAGCTGTATTTCATTTACAGTCATTCATTATTGCTATACATTAACCAACCATTTTTGGCCCATGTGTGCTAAAAAAAAAAAGGAACCATCTACCTGTGAAAATGTTAGCTGGCTGGCAAACAAAAAGAAGAAGAAGAGGAAGAGATTGGATTTATACCCCGCCCTTCACTACCCAAAGGTGTCTCAGAGCAGTTTACAAACTCCTTTCCCTTCCCCTCCCCACAACAGGCACCCTGTGAGGTGGGTGGGGCTGAGAGAGCTCTTGACAGAAACTGCTCTTTTTCAAGGACAGCTGTCTCAGAGCTTGTGACTGACCCAAGGTCACATCAGCAGGTGCAGGTGCAAGTGGAAGAGTGGGGAATCAAACCCGGTTCTCCCAGATTAGAGTCCGCACACCTTAACCACTACACCAAACTGGTAGTGGCAGGGGAAACCAAGGGTCGTTCTTGAGCAGACCGCTGGGAGCAAGCCAAGTCCCAGTAGCTCTGCCAACTCACCGGAGGCCTACGTGACAGCGGCATGGGTACATGGAGGGATAATGGACATTAGCCACACTCATCAACTTCTCCCAAGCTACTGGCCCTAACAGAACTGCCAGTGCCTCAAGGGCACACCTTGGTTACTTGGACTGAGAATCATCCCTAAACACTCTTGAGTGCCACTGTTTGGAACTCATGCTGGGGGCGCTGCCTATCCCTGCTTTAGTCCCCTCTACAACCCAACTGCATTTACACAGAAAGAACAGCATGGCTAGCTGCTTTGCATATTCTGATTGAGTCCAAACTGTTCTCTGATCAAGCTATGGTGCAGGAAAAGCTCTTTGTACATTCTCAGAGACAGCTCTTCGGTTACTTCACTTCTCTCAAAGAAGGGCGGTAACCTCAGCTGAGAGAAGTGCTGCTAAATGGGAGTGGTTAAACGAGACAGGGTCATCTACAGAATCCACACTAATAGCACCCACCAGTGATTTTTTTTTTACTTAACGAACACCAAGTAGTACTTACACTGTAATGAGCTTGTTCTGTAGTTCGGGCTTAGTGATGATGTATACCTGAACTGTATCAAAGAGCTCCCGGGAAATAAAATCTTCTGGTACCTGCCAGGGTCAAACAAGACAACCGCAGATCGATTCAGAATCAGGATACAGACACCAGTTTCCAAGCTGAGCAGCAGAGAGGCAAAACCTCTTAATGCATTTAGAAAAATCAGTTTCTGGTCTGTCATCAACAAAGCCCTAATTGAATTTTAAGATACTATATTGGTGCTAGTCTCAATAGTTAATACCCACTTTCATTACATGGATAGAAGGAGAGGTTTTGCTGCTCAGAGGAAAGGTATAGAAGGAATCTACTCAAATGTATTTGTTTGTGTGAAGGGGATTTTTTTGTTCTGCCTTTTTTTAGAGGATAGGATGTGTTCCAGTATTAAAGAAGTGGAATGTACAGTCCAAACCAATAGAAGGGGGAGAAACCCTCTTAAAATGGTGAGGGGTGATGCAGAAAATAAGGTAGCATCAATGCAATTAGGCAAGGGTTTTTTCCCCCCTCTTATAAGATTCTTACATTGGAATGGTACATGAGGGAATACTTCCCTTTTTTCAAAG